TACTTGATCATAGTAAGATTTTTCACTAATGTTCCAAGTTAATACTTACGAGACACGATAAGATGGTTGGTTTATGTGAGAAGAAAAGTTATGGTAAGAAAGAATTTCACCAACCATTTGATCAATCTTAATTGAGGAACACTAGATCTACATTAACGAAATACACTAGATCATTTCTCATCTAAAGTACAATTTATTGGTTGTTTTAGGATTAAAAAAGTGATCGAAGGTCAAACCCTTCTTATACTTCTCACTTTTAACTCATATTTTCACACGATACTGTATACAATAAGACTAACATTTACATATAATTTATTAAAGTTTTATGTTTGAATTCTTATAACTATCTGCAAATAAACATAATCAAATATAGAATAAACATTTCATTTTAATATATAAAAAATCTAAAATATAATAAGGATAGCTATTAAGTTCTAACAGAATACTTAATTATTATCTTTATAAAAAATTATATTATTAAATAAAAAAAACTACTTCGTTATTAACCTCAAATTAAATTATAATAAAAAATTACACAAAATAACGAGAACTTTTAAATAGTTAATTTGATATTAATTTCAATATATTTTTTTTTCACATTTTTATGATATCTTAAAATGTATATTTTATTCAAAACTAAAAACATTATCGTTTTCTCAAAACCACATATAACCGTATTATAACATCGATGTAGACATATAACAAAACAAACATTAAAATCAATATATATCTCGCTATATTGCACGGGTATCCTTCAAGTATATATATATATGTATATGTATATGTATATATATATATATATATGTATATGTATATGTATATGTATAACATAGACCAACATTGTTTGACTTTTTGTGAACATAACAACAAAAACAAAAATAATAGTACTAAAAATACAATTTCTATTAATCGTATTATTTTTTAAAGAAATAAATAATGATGTTTATCCTCTATTTGATTATGTTTATCCGCAGCTAGTTACACAAATTCAAACATAGAGTTTTAAGAAGTTGTACTTATACACAATTTACT